GAAAGAGAGGCAACAGTCAATGCACAGGACGTCCAGGATGATTGTCCAGAGAAGGGCCACAGAGATGCCCTGCTGGAGCAGCTCTGCTCTGGAGACAGGCTGAGAGAGTTGGGGTGTTCAGCCTGGAGAGGAGAAGGCTCCACAGAGACCTTAGAGCAGCTTCCAGTGCCTGAAGAGGCTCCAAGAAAGCTGGGGACGGACTTGGGACAAGGGCAAGTAGTGAGAAGACAAGTGGAAATGGCTTTCAACTAGAGCAGGGTAGGTTTAGATTGGGTATCAGGAAGTTCTCTACAATGAGGGTGGTGAAGCACTGGAACAAGTTGCCCAAAGGGGTGGTGGAGGCCCCATCCCTTTAAACATTCAAGGTCAGACTCAACAAGGCTCTGAGCAACCTGATCTAGTCAAAAACGTCCCTGCTTACTGCAGGAGTGGCTGCACTAGATGACCTTTAAAAGGTCCCTTCCAACCCCACACATTCTATGATTCCATGATGGCAGAGAAAACAGAAAGCAAGAGAAACTCCAAAGGCAGAAGTACAACAAGTGGTAAGACTATCTAGTAAAAAACACAAAACCCAACCAAAACCAAGCAAAGAAACCCCTTAGAAACTAAAATTCCCCTTTCACTCCTGCCATCCACTGGTTCATATTTCTGCTCTCTATTATCCAAGAGCATTCAGAAGCACTTCAATAAACAGGAGTTACCTACACCAAATGTATTTCAAGGCACCTTTCTTAGAACCAGTAAGTGAATCTTGTAGTATTTTTTATGAATAGTTTTCTCTAATCCCCCAAATCATTAGCATATTGTTGACATGAAGTGCTATCATAAAATATTAAACCCATTTCTAAACCTGTAGAATTCAAGCAGAAGATAGTAAAGCCTGAGACAGTAACTTCTTCCAAGAGTTTGGGATGGACTCAGAATTGTATTGAAGAATGTAAACTCAATGAACAACTAACATTAAATGAAGGTCCCAACAAAGTTTTATATTAGGAAAAGAGAAGTTTGAGTTTCTCTGGTTTGGGGTAGATTTTTTTTCCAATTACAATGGGTAAAAGTAACAGTCCTTCTGAGGCTACCTTGCTGCAGTAGATAAAGATATCCTTGTGATTAAAAGATTTTGATGGAAATAATAACAAGAGCACTTTTCATGCAACTTGTACAATATTTAAGACATTCTGGGTGCTTCCACAGCACAACAGATACAGTCAATCAAGAAAGTACTGTTGTCTTTAGAGGAAATATATGCAAGTGTGATAGCTTTTTGATGAATACAATAAAAACTTGCACTGGTGAAGTGACTCTTGGTAACCACCATGACCAGTCACTTGAAGGACATTCTACCTCACCCACAAAGGAACTGCAGTCAGAACAAAAACTACTCATTCTGGCTGCCTCAAACAGATGCTTCTTTTGAGTTTGTTAAAAAGCAGCACGAGAGATCTGAAGCACTGAAGGTGAAGTGAGCATCACCCCAGCTCATACTCACCCAGCAATAACAACTCCATCACAGGAATGCACATCGGAGAGGACTTTGCCCAGCTCATACCGCAGCTGGCTCACGGCACCCACGCGGTTCTGCACAGAAAGACAAGATCTGGTGTTGGGACTGGGGCATGTTCATCAAGCAAGTTAATTTGGTGCTTTTTGGGAAACTCTGAGCTTTGTTATTGCTACTGAAAAATGGCCACAGAGATGATCTGAGGGCTGGAGCAGCTCTGCTCTGGAGCTAGGCTGGGAGAGTTGGGGTGTTGAGCCTGGAGAAGAGAAGGCTCCAGGGAGACCTTAGAGCACCTTCCAGTGCCTGAAGGGGCTCCAGGAAAGCTGGGGAGGGACTTGGGACAAGGGCAGAGAGGGAGAGGACAAGGGGGAATGGTTTTAAACTGGAAGAGGGGAGATTTAGGTTAGACATGAGGAGGAAATTCTTTGCTGTGAAGGTGGTGAGAGCCTGGCTCAGGTTGCCCAGAGAAGCTGTGGCTGCCCCATCCCTGGCAGTGTTGAAGGGCAGGTTGGATGGGGCTTGGAGCAACCTGGGCTGGTGGGAGGTGTACCTGCCCATGCAGGGGACCTTTAAGGTCCCTTCCAATCCAAACCACTGTATGATTCTGTGAGAGAGATGACCCACCTATTTTCTGCTTGCCTCCTGGAATTACTACAGACAGAAACGAAGGAGAACAAGCAATCACTCTTAGCCATCACTCATAATCTTTAGGAAGAAACAACTATCACAACATTCTCATCCTCAAAGGAAGGCTGCATGGACATCTCTCTCACCAGTGGAGTAACACAGCAAACAGAAAGACTCACACCCAAAAGTAAACAGTCATTGGGGAAAAGAAGTGACTATGGCTAAGGCTCAAAAATCCTTCAGCAGCTTTCCCCTTGTAACTGGCAAAAAGAAGCTGCAACACAAAAACCCCCCAACTTTTCACTCCCTCTGACTTGAAGCAGGTTCCTATTTTTCTCCACCACCTGGATCCCATTAAAGAAATTCCCTTTTACCTTCCAGTTGGTTTTCAAAGTGTGCTCCCTGGCACGGCAGTCCTTGAGGGCCAGCTTCCAGCAGGAGTGACCCGAGATGCTGGTATCCAGTAGGTATCCTTCCCGTTGGCACAGCCGGTACCACAGCACCTCATCTTCTGCAAGCACCTTCCATGTCCTGCTGACCTAGAAATCAAATTTATATACATACATATATATATATATAATCAAGTTAGAACTAAAAATTAAATTTCATAGAAAAGTCTTTAAGTAACACCTAGGATATACAGATACAGAGAGACAGAGAGCAGCCTTCCAATATCTCAAGGAGGCCTACAAGAAAGATGGGGAGAAACGTCACCAGAGAAGTGTAGTGGCAGGACAACGGGTAATGGTTTTAAACTAAAAGATTTACATTAGATATTAGGAAGAAATTCTTCACCATGAGGTTAAGAAGGCACTGGAATAGGTTGCCCAGAGAAGCTATGGCTGCCCCAGCCCTGGCAGTGTTGAAGGGCAGGTTGGATGGGGTGCTTGGAGCAACCTGGGCTGGTGGGAAGTGTCCCTGCCTATGCAGGGGGGGCTAGATCTAGATGATCTTTAAGGTCCCTTCCAACCTGAACCACTCTGTGGTTCTATAATATAAAACAACATAGGCCTGCAGTGAGATTAAGTTCTTACTTAAACAAGTACACTATGGACAGCATGGGAAAAAAAATCTTTAACAAGATACTTGTTTTCTCTGAATTCTTCTGCAAATAAATGAGTTTCTTCTCCATTAAAACTCCAGGACACTTGGATCCTGCTGTTTAGAGGCCACATGACCTGCCTGAGATATCAGTGTTTCAGAGAAGTTTGAAGTAAAAAGAAGAAAACTAAGACAGCATTGTAAGTTTAGAGCAAAAATATTAATTTATTCTCATATTTGTAGCAAGGCAAACAAGCCAAGAAAAGCTCTCAGATCACACCACCATCTCTCTAAGGGCTGACAATGCCTGATTAGGTGTATGACATCAGTGATTCATAACCTATTGTATTACACTATGTGTAAATAGGAATGAATTATTTTTTCAAGTAGCCTTAAGTTGCTGTCCATTTCAGAGAGAACAGCTTCATCATCATCAATTGTGGGCTTAGAATTAAAGATTCAAGAGCTAAGAGCCAACTTAAGTAGCATTTGTTCTCTGTAATTCGTAATTTAAAAAAAAACAACCAGATGTAACCAATGAAAACTGCTACCACTGAAAGCAGCAATCAATTGTGTGCCATTTCCAAAAAAATAAAAAAAACCTTCTTAGACTGACATCATTATCAGCAACTTACAATTAAGCATCTAAAGTCTGTCTCAGTCCAAAGATGACACCAAGAATCTTGGTCTCCCATTGATTCAAACTCTTACAGGACCATCTGAGGGGAGATTCAGGAAAGAAATTCTTTGTTGTGAGGGTGGTGAGACACTGGCCCAGGTTGCCCAGAGAAGCTGTGGCTGCCCCATCCCTGGCAGTGTTGAAGGGCAGCTTGGATGGGGCTTGGAGCAACCTGGGCTGGTGGGAGGTGTCCCTGCCCATGCAGGGGGTTGGATCTAGATGACCTTTAAAGGTCCCTTCCAACCCAAACCATTCCATGACTCTATGATCTCTTCATGTTTATTGCTGTTGATTCCATGTTCATCATGGCACAGTGAAAGATGAACTATTTACTTGTTCTCTATTTTATAAGATTCATCTCCTTTGTATTTTATCATTATCACGTACACCTTGCTTCAGATTTTTTAAAACTACACCTTTCAAATACAAAGCAGAGATTCCCAAAATTACATGTCATAAGGAATACCAAAAGTATGAGATCCTTTGGGCTAGTAAAGATTTGCAAGAAGCCCATGCAGAACACAAGCCAGTGGAGCAACCAAGTGTGCAGGGAGGCTCACAGAGAGGTTAGAAAAACATCCCTTAAATACATCAAGCGATTTCAGAATCTGTAACATAATCTATAAAACTTCAGCCCAACCAAAACACCCACAACCTTGCACAGAGGCAGCAGCTAAGGTCCACAAAGCCCCCATCAACACTGCCCAGCGTCTTACAGGTCTCCTTGGGTCACAGCAGGTGCAAAAACATTTTACACACATGGCTCCAAACCTCCTGGCACACTATAGAGTCCCCAAGCAGTGGAACAGGATGCCCAGGTCTCCCCATGAAGACTTTATGAGGCTTCAAACCATTTTCTCTATGTTGTGCTGCCTGTTGGTTTTGCTCTAAGGACATTCATGTCTCATCCCTGCTCTCAAAACCCAACATCCCATTAGGAATCAAGAACAGCATCCTAAGGCATCTCTTATGACCTGGTTCTAACAGGGAAAAGGAAATTAAAAATGTTTAATATGAAAAAAGGTGGGTGGACTAGGGAATCTGTGTGATACCTACACACAAGAGCAGCTCTCAAACAGGAATACTCCAGTCCAGCAGATCTAATATTTCAGTTAGCCACCAACAGACCTCAGTTCAAACTAGCAGACAAAGAAAACAACCTGGACAGGGCAATCATAATGCCTCACAAATGACAGAAACAGCACCGAGTCTTCCTAGCATTATAACTCAGCTTGTAATTTTAAAAAAAAAAAAAAAAAGAAAAGAAAAAAGCAGGGTCCCTACAGGGCCACACTCAGGAGGTTCAAAAGAATAAAAAAAGAAAGGGAATCCAAATTTCAAGTCATCACAGTTTAGTGGGGAATTTGCTCTCAATTTGCTTCTAAAGTGCTATAAATCCACATATTATTAGTCAAAAAAGAAAAAACCACCCAGCTTTTTGCTGAGACACACAAAAAAAGCAGCTGTTGTGCAGGAGCTGAGCAACCCAGCCAAGCCTGGTCCACAGTCACAGCACCTCTGCCCTCCCCTCATTCCCCCCCCTCCCAGAACAGCAGCATGTTCTGCTGACACTGAGGGGACAGGCCAAAGCACAAGCAGAAGTAAACAAAGCCAAACTAGGCCAACTTTTGCTTTGCTTTAAAACAGAACAAAAAAGAAAACACACACACCTTTGGAGTTTGCCAAAATAGACAATATTGTACAGACTTTTCTAGTTTCAAGCTCTTAAAAGCATTTTATAAAGACAGCAAAAAGAAAAAATAAAGGGGAGGAGACTACATAAAATGTAGACTGGCTTTTCAACTCTCAGGAACAAACATTCAAGGGGAACAAAGATTCTATCCTATTATGATTTTTTTAAATCAAATTACATTGAATCCTGCTGCTTTACAAGCATGGATTTCCAAAGGGTCCCTAATGCAGCCTTTCCTTAATGCACCAAAACTGGCATCACAACCCCTTGTAAAAGCCCCACTGAGCGAGGCTCAGCTGCAAGAAAGCTCTAATAAAAGTGTCTCAAGCATTTCACTTTACAGCACCACTGTGAGCTGCTGCATTAAAACCAGCCATTGGCTTCAAGTCAGCATTATTAGGTCTGTTTGCCTTCAGAGTTTCAGGTGAGGCCCCAAAAGGCAGAGCCTCACTGCTTCACTGCTTTGCCCCCACACACTGCCTGTTGGGGTGTAGCTGAGCCCTGCAAGACTCTTCTTCAACCACAGACATAATTATTTCCAAAGCTTCACTGCGTGAAAACTCCAACAATGATCAATGGTAACAACTTACAGGGTTGTTTACAGATTTAGACTCCCCAATTTAATTTGGTCTTCAGTGCTCCTGTTATCTTTTTACTGTCGTTCTCAACTGCTCTCAGCAAAGAAACTTTGGTTTCGCCTGAGCTCCACACAGGAACAGTTTTATATCTTAGAGTTCAGCAAGCAATTGTGTTCTGAAGGACTTCAAAGGCTTTCACTGACACAGGTTTTACTATTTGGTTTTGCCTTTAGGGGATTATTTTCCAGGAAAAAAAAAAACAAACCAACCACCTCTTCCATTAAATCCTAAATTTCTTCTAATCCTGTCTAAACCAACTGGCTCAAATCCTAATGAAGGTTTATTCATCCCTCTCCATCTGATAACTGTCTTTGTTTCATTAGGTTTATTTTCTTCCCTAGTCACACAAAGACAAATTCAAGGTTCATTTGCTGAAGCCAGGGGCCTCAATTAGAAATATCTGGACTTTCAAGTCAGCACAACTGGTAGTGCCAAAGAGTCTTCAGTCCAAAGCCATTCAGATGCACATTTACCAGGTGGAAGCTGCTCATCCTTTCAATTCACAGCCATAATGTTATTTTAAGTCTCATCCTGAGCCCAGGAGATCCTTATCCCTCTGTTTCTCTGCTCTCCCCCTAAACTATGAGGAGGATGGATCTTTTCTTTTACCCATATACAACCTTGACACAAAAGTATTCTTCAAAACAATACATTGTTTTCTTCTTTTCAATGTCCAAACACTAAAAGCCCAACAGTTTGACAATTCCAGAAGCTCCAGAGACAAGCATCTGAAATTCTTGATTCATGCAAGACAATTCAATCTTAAATTCCTGGGAACAGTCTCCCTTGTCCTAGATACATACACAATCATTGTGTTTGTAAACATTTCTAAACCATCTCTCAGATGAAAACTGTAACAGTGCAAGGCAATTTCCCACTGATCTGTTCAGAAATAAAACTGCCTTAGCATTGCCAAAACCCAATAAATAAGGCTGAGAAGAATTTCACACCACAAAATGCAATTTATTTGGTCTCTAGTGCTTACTAGAAAGCAACAGCACAACTGTAAGTGTTCAGAGAAGTTCCCAGATTAGAAACATCACCCACCACAACAAGGAGAAGGCCAGGTTCTCAGGACATGAACCAACTTAATTGTAGATGTTTTCAGTATCAGCCCCAAACAACACTAGAGCTGATGTGTTTCAATTTGTCAGACTTGTGGCATCCCAAGGGATTGTTTTTCTTCTCCCTCTACATCACAACCAGCAGGAGTGACTGTTCTCAAACCTGCTCACCACAGAAGTCACAAGAGAAACACTCAGTGCACAGAAATTACTTCCAGTGGTCAGAACAGAATCAAAAGCTGCTCACAGGGCTGACATAAAGCAGAGGGGAAAAAATTGCCATTAGTTTGGACTCTTTTGAAGTCCTGGATGCCTTTCTCCTAGAATTATAATTAGGATATACATGGGATATCAACAGGGACTGGTCTGCTGGATGCTACTGAATATTGCACAACTATGGGGAAGCCACCAGAGCTCAGGAACTGATGATACCAATAATGTACATCCTGCACATAGCTTTTGTATCTCAAGTGCCATATGGGTAGTTGGTGTTTTACAGTACTAATTCCAAAGAAGAAAAAAAAAAAAAAAAATCAAAAAAAAGCTGCAGGGAAGATGGGGAGGGGGGGGAATATCAGGGTGAAATTAAAGTTCTCCAGAGCAGTCTGTGGTGTGATTAAATCTCAAAGAGGCTCCACAGTCAGGCTACTTCACTGTTAGTCCGTTACCAATTTGGCATCAAGAACTAAGCAAACAGGTTTGCTCCAAAGGCAGTCATATAGTTCATGATGCCAATTCCACTAACTGGCCTGATTTCACTAAAATCCCAAGGCTCCTTAATAAAAAAAAAACCTTTCTAGAGTAACACTGTAAAGCAGCAGGGCTTTATATTTAACAGAAGAGGGCTTTCCTCCCTCTTAAAAGGGAAAAAAAAAAAAACCCACCAGAAGAAAAATGAAAAGGTTTTTGTTTTTATTGCTTTGCTTTTTATTTGAACACTTAAAAAGAAGCCAGCTCTGTACTAGAAGCATTGGATATTCCTCTCATTCAGAGAGCCTCATAAAACCATGGGCATTTGCTGAGCTACCTGTCAGCTGCCACATAGGATCAACTGACTCAGTCTGAGAAGGAAAATGAGAAATGTGGAAAATTCTCTCAGTGTTCAAACACATCATATGAGAACAGGTTCAAGTTAAAAACCAAAGTGAGCGAGAGAGAAACCAAGTGCAGAGAAAAGGAGCAGCCCAATCAGGCAATCTTTTTACTGTGCCATGAGGTAAACTGATCATGCCTAAGGGAAAGGAAGACAAAGAAAGAATCAGATTTAAAGTAATCCACTTCAAAAATGCCAGCCTGCTCCCACTCATGGGATACTGCCTTTACTGGCTGCATTTCCCTCCATCAAACCACAGAAACTTGAGCATCTCTGAAAGCACCAAACCAATAATCCTAGACTTTTTTTCTCCTCTGCAACAGAAGCCCAGGAAGAGGAGTTATTTTCTTCTAACAGCCCTTATTCCTAAAAGGCTTTAGCAAGTCAAAGCTTTACCCAATAACCACATGTAGCTAGGACTTGCTCACACTGAGTATTAGAAGCCCCATTTCATTTCCACGCAGGTGCCCTTTGGCTAAGACCTGTGTCTAGTTGACCACACACAACAAGGCTACACCCTTTCTGCCACTTCCCAGTTCTTACATGTTAACATTCCTCTCTCATGAACAGTCCAGGCTGTGGCTCAAGTGCAACACAGAGAATGGTTCAGGTTGGAATTTTGTGAAGTTGCAAGTGCTTTGTACATAAAGAGTTCAACCAACACCACCCTGAAACACCAAACTGTAGCCACAGGAGAAGCTGGCAATGAATCTCCACAACATCCTACTCATTTCCTTGTTTCACAGGGTAATCAGCACTTGCCAACTAAGTTTTCTTTGAAGACTCATTCAGAGAGGAGGTTCATCATTCAGTGTGTGAAGAGAAGGGATAAAGAGGCTCAATAGTGTGGGCTGAACAGCCCTAAGCACAGTCAGGTGGATGAGTGTTTAAGTTAGGAAAGCCACATGATGCTCCAATGATGGAGCATGTCTGGTGAAAGCCTGGTAATAAAGCATCACTAAAGAACAAAAGAAACCCCTTGTTGGTTTATTCTGCAATGGAGGGGGGGTGGAAATCAGTGTCATTTAAGAATTTAGCTTCACATTAAATTATTACAGACAAATTCTATGGTTCAAGTCACACACTGAAAAGAGAGGGAGAGCTCCCTTAGCCCTGCAGAGTGCTGAGCTCTAAATATTGCAGCAAGATGCTCACTTGTTTCTAAAAACACCCACTTCAATCAAAAGATCCTTGCAAGCATTTATTTTAAATCTGAAGGCTTCATTTTTGTCCAAGCCACAAATATTTTATTCAGCTCTACTCAACTGCAAGCTATAAATCCAGCTCATTTACTACCTTTTTTTTTTTTCAATATTCAGCTTGGAAAGTATTTCCAATAAGTAAAAGCACAACCAGATGAGCTACTAGGGCTACCAGACATCTTCTTGGCATCAAGGTGCCCAACTGTTTCTGGAATTTCTCTGCCAATTTTACATGGTATGAGAGAAGCAAACTGTGAGAAGCACCTACTTGAGCACACCTTCCCAATTCAGTCTTGCTCAGGTACTGAAATATCTTCAGTGCCAGTTCATAAGGCAGCTGGATATCAAAGAAAGGAACTTCATTTATTTCATTCTGAAAAGAAAAAAAAACACAAAACAAAACATATAAATACTTGGTTAGGCTTCTTTAATGCACAGCTAGATAGTAGCTAGTTACCATAGTAGTAAGAAAAGACATTGTACCCTCAGTGCCATCAGTTTCATTAAAAAGGCAGCACTAATTGTGATTCTCCATCCCATTATAGCACAACCTGAGACAGATCTTGGGGCAT